TCGCGTTTTGTTGGGATGCGTGAGGACGCAAGGTGTCATCGTCTCATGACGGCGTGGGTGGCCTGGGGATGCTCGCTATTGCTGTCTCATCGCCGTCTCGCGGCGTGGTAGGAAGCGTTGGTTAAATGCTGAGTCGGTCTTCGGTCTTACTCCGTTAGGCAATTCACTATAGAAAATTGGGTGGTCCGGGTGCTTATCAAGCCATTGGATATGTCACCTCCGGGGTGATTTTGTGACCAGCACCCCTTACGAACGCAATTTGCCGTCATAACTCCTAAGGACAAAACTTATTCAAAATAGGATGAACTGTGGTGAACCCTGCCAGAAGCGTCGTCATTCGAATGTCGCTTCTAACTTCTGGAATTATATACACCGTTGCATACTGCCTACGTTTACAATCAATTGCCTGTGTCATTAAATTTCATCCGAAATATTGACGTGTGCTTTCAATTTGAATTTTATTTACTTATTAAAGTATATTTGTGACATCTATTATCGTGCAGCCTAACTCCACGATAGTTCTTTCGTGCAGGATGCCGAAAAAAGGAGTACTTATATTCGCTCTTATACTCATCTGGGAGAAAATTACATTGTTAACTAAGTTGGTACCCCGAAGAAAGGGTTTATTTTGATTTTAAAAACATTTATAATTAGGACACTTTTTAAACTGTTAAATGTTCCTTCCTATCTTTTCATTTACTAACACAGTTTATGGAGTATGCAACATGGCTCATATCCAATGCAAATATTTATGAACACTCTGAGACGTTTTCCTCATACCGTACCTTATGTCACTTTCCTCAGAGGGCATATATACAGTATGTAGTTTGGAAACCCTAACTTGGAGTGTAACGACACGTAGGAGTCACACCTCTACGGCAACAGAAAACGTTTTTATAACCAAGTTATACCTCAGACTCCAGAGAAGACGTAATTTCCTACCCACTGGATACATGAAAAATTATTTTCGAGCATTTTTTCTATTAAGTATATTTAAATTTATCAATGCATCAACAATCATGGAGAAAATGCGTACTCACCAAGAACGGAAAGAAGCTCGTTTGTAAGTCAGGATCCTGAAACTAATGATATATCTTGGAATTAGGCTGCCTGATAGAAAATATTATAACTATCCTTATATTATATTCTTCAAATTGAAGATAAATGCCAGAAATTGGGTTAAAATTTGACTACTGTAAACCTAGTCCATACGCTCGTACTAATCTACCGTTCCTTTCTACCATGATATATCCAAGATCAGTTTAAACAATTCAGCCAAGTTAGGCCAATCCGCTTAAAGGGATACGTAAGCAACGACTGCCTACGGTCTGTCATGCGGAGATCTAAGATTTGTTATTCAATTTTGGTTCCAACTGCAGAATTCCAGAGCATGTATGGTGGGAAGTTGAGTTTTCGCTCAGCCTCTGAACACATTCATTAAATCCACGTCGACGAAGTAGTTTGTCAGATTACGCCTACGAGCTATGTTACATATGTGTTAATATGTCAATATGTGAGCTATGTTATCAACTGTATTTCTCGAAAGTAATAATATGACCACCAGATCAACTCTTTCAGAAAAGGTAATTTGTGAGAAGTAAAAGGGGGATCAGTTAGGAGAATGGAAACACAGACGTAAATACCCGATCTGGGTGCCTACACGCATAAATAAAGTATTGGATGCGTTTTGTTTTGGGTGGAAGTTGCCATAACTCAAGATACTTTCTAAACCTGCAAACGTTTTTTTAAGGCCGGATTCTAACAAAGTGAGGTGAGACAAAGGCAGGACGCATTGCCATATTTTTCAGACAAACAGTCAGTTGTCCCCGAAAAAAAGCCTGCTCGCTTTTGTCTGACAGCAGTTCTTTTTCCTACCTGTGCGCACAGGAATGACCACAACCGACGGTGCACCAGACCGTGTGTCCACAGTAAGGGTGTATAAAGCCCGCAGCTTTTGCCATGTCGTGCCGAACTCAAATTAACTCTTCGGTTCTTAGTATTTGAAAAAGGAAGGAAAAAAGGCGCCCTGCGCTAGCCTTTAAACGAACAAATACGCCTGTAGAGCTATCGTGGGCCATGTTTGGCGAGACTAGTGTCTTCTCTGATAAGGTGGAATCGACAAGCTCAGAGTAGTGTAACTGGAAGTCAACGGTCAAGAGGGAAACTTCAAACCTACGTTTCTAATCGCTGCACGGCCGCTGTCAGGACCTGAAAAATGACATCCAAGGCACAGCGGGACAAGTGAAATGCCTTAGCGGTCGGCGAACGCTACTCAACAGATGTAAATATCTCCCGACCCCAAACCGGCACTTAAACGATCTCGTGGCTCAGCGATTATCGTGTTAGACTTCTGATCGAAAAGGTCGTGCGCTCGAGCCTCATGTGGTGCATCACTTGGGCTTGGGTTTGACTTGTCGACCATTCCACTCTCCCTTGGCTTTGCCGGCAATAATATCCGTTTTTATAATTTTTTGTTTAGAAACGCTGCAAACGGACAGAATAGGGGAGCAGATAAAAGTGTCCCCTTTCGGTACGAGACAGTCTGTCTTAACAAATATCCCAAATACCTCACACTCTTACTTGAACAACTTTTTTATAAATAAGAGGCAAAGAAAGGCGTATATATTTAAGATATGATTTTCGAACTGTCGTAGTAACTAGAAGAGAACACGAGAAAGACCAACAAATCTACTAAGATTTGATTGGGAATGTCCACTTCTTATTTTCCCAGAATTGCAAGGAGGTACAAGCGGTATTCTCCATGTGTGTCTCCTTTGATCATTTGATCAAGAGGTTTTTCGTACGTGCTGTTGAACGTTTGCATTATAGTGGCCAAATCAACCTGAAATAAAAGAAATCCACATCAGGTTCTTTCTCTCAGAATAACATTATATCCGGTATAGAAACTCATTTTAAAAATGATCTTGAAGTTCAATACATGTGAGTGTACTACTTAAAACAAGCGAGTAGTCGTCTGAAATA